GACTTTTTGTTCTTCCAAATGAATTTTATTATTTTTTATAACAGTAATATTTTTGGTAATATAATTGGGATGACATTGAATTTATAAATTAGTTTAGGCAAAATTTCCATTTTTATTATATTGGCCCTGCTTACTCATGAACAATTAGTATTTCTCCAATTATTTAATCTGATTTTATTTGTATTAAAGGTTTTTATCATTTTGTTTATATAGTTCCTGGGTTTGTTTTGGCAGATGGAATTTTATACTCCCAGGTATTTTATTCTGTCTAGAGTGTTTTAAATGGGGTATCTTTTACTATGTTTTCTTGCATGGTTTTGTTGGTGATATAGAAGAATGCTGATGATTTATGTGGATTTACTTTATATCTTGCTACTTTGCTAAAATTGTTGTTTCAACTATCTTTTCAGTTGAGTCTTTGGGATTTTCTAAGTATATTATCATATCATTTGCAAAAAGATATCATTTTATTATCTCATTTCCTATTATGGTTCCTTCTATTTCTTTTTCTTCTCTTATTGCTGTGGCTAGGATATCCAGTACAATATTCATTGATATTGGTGACAGTGGGTGTACCTGTTTCACAGCTGATCTTATTGGGAAGGCTTATCCCCATTACAAATAATGCTTGCTGGTGGTTTTAGGTAAATGTTTTTTTTTTTATCAATTTAAGGAAAAATCCATTTATACTTATATTTTCAAGCATTTTTTAATAGAAGTAAATGTTGTACTTTATCAAATGCTTTTTTCTGCATCTGTTGATATAATCATGTGATTTTTGTTACTTTTATTATTGACATAATCAACTATGTTTATAGTTTTCCTTATGTTAATCCATCCCGGAATTTCTGGTATAAAGCTCCCTTGTCATAATGTATAATCTTTGTAATCTATTGTTGTAATCTTTTTTCAAAGTATTTTATTTAGGATTTTTGTATCCATATTCATTAATAAAATTAGTCAATAATTTTCTTTCTCTGCTTTTACTCTTCCTGGTGTAGGAATCAGCACCATATTTGTTTCGTAAAAGAAGTTTGGTAAACCTCTTCTTTGCCTGTTATTACAAATAATTTATTTAATATTAGAATTAGTTGGTTTTTAAATGTTTGATAAAATTCACTTTTAAATCCATCTGGTCCTGGTACTTTTTTTCTTAGGAAGCTCATTTATGGCCTGTTCAATTTCTTTTTCAAAAAAGGTCTATATACTTATTCTGTTTCCTCTTGTGCAAATTTAGGCAGTTTATGTTCTTGTAAATATTCTTCCATTTCACTTAAATTATTAAATTTATTGGCATATAATTTGGCAAAATAACTTTATAATTATAATTGCTTTGATTTTGTCTTTGTTAGTGGTATATTCACTATTTCCATTTTTAATACTAGTGATTTGTTTTTCGTTTTTCTCTTTTTTAATTGTATTGCCGATAGTTTATGTATTTTATTTTTTTCATAAAATCAACTCCTATTTTTATTTATTAATTCAATGGGTTTTTACACTCAATTTTATTAATCTGCCCTTTAATTTTTAGGATTTCCAACTGAGTGTTTAATTCAGGGTTTTTAGTTCTACTTTGTTTCCTTTTTTTTAATTGCATACTCAATTCATTGATCTGATCTTTATTTTATTGATTTAAGAATTTAGAGATATAAATTTTTAATCTTTTGCTGTATCCCATATATATGTTGTTTCATTATTGTCATTCTCTTTAATGACATTACTGATTGTTTATATAATTTTTTCTTTAATCCACTCATTATTTAAGATTAGGTTGCTTAGTATACAATTAGCTTTTTTTTTAGTAAAATTGTGTTTTCTTGCATAATCAACTTTTCTTCTACTTCATTTTAATTCAAACCAATTGCATCCATTTTTTTCCTTCAAAATGATAACAAATGGAGTCTGTGTATGGCAATGACGAACAGAAAAAAAGGAATGATGCTGAGTAAATATAGCAGTGACTAGCCAGGGATAGGGTATTCCTTTTTTTCCTTATATTTTTAATACTGTTTTTTCCAATTACATGTAGAGACAGTTTTCAACATTAATTTTTTATAGGATTTTGAATTCCAAATTTTTCTACTTCCTTTCCCTCCCACTCCTTCCAAGACAGCAAGAATTCTGCTATAGGTTATATATGTGCAATCATGTTAAACATATTTCCACAGTAGTCATGTTGTGAAAGAATAGAACAAAAGGGGAAAACCATTAAAAATGTAAGATAATGTGCTTTGATCTGCATTTAGACTCTCTAGTTCTTTCTCTGGATGTGGATACCATTTTCCATCGTAAGTTTTTTGGAACTGTCTTAGATTATTGTACTGCTGAGAAGAGCTGAGAAGTCCATCATAGTTGATCACTGCACAATTTTGCTGTTGCTATGTACAAAGTTCTCCTGGTTCTGTTCACTTCATTTAGCATCAGGTCTTGTAAGTCTTTCCAGGTTTTTTGGAAATCCACCTCCTCATCATTTCTTACAGCACAATATTATTCCATTACATACATTTACCACAACTTGTTTAGCCATTCCCCAATTGATGGGTATCCCCTCAATTTCCAGTTCTTTGCCACCATAAAAAGAGCTGCTATAAATATTTCTATACATGTAGGTCCTTTTCACTTTTTTATGATCTCTTAGGATACATATCTAGTAGTAGTATTGCTGGATCAAAGGGTATACATATTTTGATTGTCCTTTGGGCATAGCTCTCGATTGTCCTCGAGAATGGTTGGATCAGTTCACAACTCCATCAACAAAGCATCAGTCTCTCAATTTTTCCACATCTTCTCCAACATTAATTATTTTCTTTTTACATCATGTTAGTCAATGTGATAGGTACAAAGTGGTACCTAAAAGTTGTTTTAATTTGCATTTGTCTAATCAATAGTGATTTAGAGATTTTTTCATGTAACTATATAGATAGCTTTAATTTTTTCATCCAAGAACTTCTTGTGCATATCCTTTGACCATTTATCAATTGAGGATCCAATTAGTTTTTAATTTGTTTCTGTGGTCCCTTATTAAATACAATCTTAATTGCATTGTGATATTATTTATATTTTAACATTTATACTTATCCATAAATTACTAGGGATTTTGACAACAGAGTAGAGAAACACTATATGGCAATCATATAATTTTCTAGGGGCAGTCTTGATCTCTGCAAAGAAAATGTACTTCTAAAGAGACTTTGGATAGTAATATTCTTTATTATATATGCCCTGATTATTTATTCAAAAATATATTCAATGTAACAATATGGTCACTGAATTAGAAATGTTTGTTGACTGATTACTGAAAAGTCAGCTCATGATGTAGTAAAGGTCCTACAAATACCACTTTAAATATAAGACAGTGAAACAATATCAGCATGATATAACTAGTACATTAAAATCCTAGCAAAGCAATTAACATATTATTTACCATAAAATAGTTAACTACTATGAAGTAGCTAGAGTTATCACTTATTTTTCAAAGGCATAGTAGCATTATTACATGGACTCATGTTATATCTCAAGTTACAAATCATCACAAAATTGTCTAACAAAGTCATCTCTATTGAAATGCTTTCATTAGAGTCATCAAACAATAAGACAATAAGCAGAGTGAGATCTCCTATGCTCAGTAGCTTTCAGTCAACTGAGTGACCATAAAGAGTTGCTATAGAAAAGTATGAAAGCCTGCCTGCTTTCTTCACTTAACTTCATCAGGATTGCCCACCATATGCAAACATCTGAAGGATCCATGATTTTGTCAGGATGGGAAACTCTCAGTCTGAAAATTTTCTCTGTTAATTCCTTCTGCCCTGACCCTAAATGCTAAGGACCACTGGACCTTGCCATCCACCCTGTAGTTGACTATATCATCTTCCTTTATTAAAATCTGAGTTCCTCAAGAGCAGAGAATGTTATATTTTTGTTTGTGCTTCTTACATAGTAAGTGCTTAATAAGTGCTTTTTTATTCATTCATTCATTCACTTTTCAATGGATATCACAACCTCACAATGACTTACTAGATAGGTCCAGAGAGTTGACTGAGGCACATTGAAGTTGTGACTCTTTAGGCAGTATAACTAGTAAATATCAAAGGTAACATTTGAACTCAGATCGTCTCAATTCAAAGCCCATCACCCTATCCACTAAGCAATGCTGTCTTTGATACATTTATAAATTATTTTTTAAAAGATGAGAAAACAGGCTTATAGTTCCAAGTTACTGATATTTTCCCAATTACTTTTTTCATGGACATAGTCCCTGCTTTCAAACAACTTATAGTCTACTATTTCTTGTCATCTCTTTCTGTGCAATAAAACTAACTCCGCTAGCTCCTCACTCTCTGAGAATTTGACAGCCATTTCTCATTTAGCTTTGACTTTTTGTTTCTTCTGGCTCTTTTTGTATCAAGAATGTCAAGATACAAAATTATGTTGCTTTAGTAGTATGTCAACTGGCTAGTCACTGGACAGCAATAACATATTGAGACTATCAACAGTTAAGTTAATGCTTGTAGACAGTTTAAAAACTATGCAATTCTTAATGTGGTTGTGGGTGGGGGGAGGGTTTGGGTGTGGGTGTTCTGTGTGTTCTATGGTCAGTAAAATTTATCATCTTACAGTCAACCTTAGGGTAATAATTACTTTCAAACTTAGCTCGACTATTTCTGAAACAGATAGACTATGTAGCGAATGTCAAACTTGAAGCTGTTGCACATGTGTTCCACTGCCGTAATCTACTGGTGTGATCTTCAAGAACCCAGAATTACCTGGATTCCACAATTCAGTGTCTAAAGTAAATTTTTATATAGACTTTAAAATAAGTTTATGTTTCTGGTTATTGCTTTTGTCCCTATTGTTCAGCCCTGTTGTTTCATTGGGTACTGGCTTAAGGCTGGTTTTCAAACACAGAGGAGCACCTTCTGAGTGACCTGTGATATGAAATATCACATGTGATATAATATATAGATACAAAAACTAAAAATAAGCCCACCTTCCTTTTTCAGCCTCTTTTTGGATCAAGAAAAAAATTTCTTCATGAAGAAAGAAAAAATCCCAACTGGTGGTGTAAGCATTGCTATATTTTTATTAAATTACCCATTTATAAGATTATGCATTTTACTAAAAGCTTCATAGAGTTCTCACGAACCTCTAGCACTATTACAATTACCATTTCATCATTCAAATGAAATCAATTAATATTGAATTTATAAATATTTTAATAGTAGTTTGAAATTACATGCTATTTAGCTAATTTTTTTTTATTTCTCATTGATATTAATCCATAATTTAACATTAGTAGTCCACTAACTTGAAATCTCCTTTTAATAACTAATCAATCTCTTGTGGCCATTTTGCATTTAGGTAAAATTTTCCAGCATTGTGAAATACCTACAAGCTTTTGGCTGGCTCTGGGTGTGGCTATGTGTTGCTACTTACCTAGGCCAGAATTTAGCAAGCATAGGACAAAATCTATGGCTAAGCACCTGGACTAAAGAAGCCAAGCAAGCTAAAGATACCATAGAATGGAAACAATTAAGAAATCATAAACTTAATGTCTATGGGTTACTAGGATTAATACAAGGTAGGAACAAGTGGGAATGGTTTACTTTTTCACTTATCTCTCCTGCTATACTGTCTCAATAAAAAGTGATCCAATAGTTTCCATGTCTTTTCTTATATTTATATGCATCAATTCTATATGATGGAGACTATGTAACTTAAAAAAATGAAAGGAATGTATGTTGATCTTTGTTTCTCCCTCTCCTCTCATTTTGCCCTCCTCTTAGACCATGATACTGGTCAGCTAATCCATCTAACTTTATCCTACATTATCATGAATAGTCAAGTTGATTATATTTGATAATGTGGTTAATAGTTTGGGCATCTAATGACATTTTCAGATTCTAGAAAGGGTATAAGTCATGATCTTAGGTGTTGGGGAAATCTACCACAGTCAGGTGGCTGGGCCAAGAGCCAATTACTATAACAAGGGTGGAGCATGCAGAGGACAGTCAGTGAGACTAGCCACTCTATGTATAATCCAGAGAGAAGTTCAAATAACAGTTTTTAAGGATGAGAGCAAGACAGAAGAAACCCACAGTTTTTGAACTGCTAAAATGAAAAGATGGAGCTGATTAAGGGTGCTTGGTAGTGAACCAAGACACAACAGTCAGAAAAATCAATTCAGTCTTAATTCAGGGTAGGCAGAGTAAGTTTCAGGAACTAGAAATAGTGATGCATTTTCTGTAAGGCAATTACAGGTATAACATAAAAGGAAGTATTTTATTTGGGTTCAGAAGGCTGGACTTGTATTCAAGAAAACCTGGGTACAAATCCCACCTTAGAGACTGTGTATCAATTGTGTCACCCTGGGGAAGTTCCTTAACCTCTTTGCCCCATTTTCTCATCTATAAAATAAGGGCGAGGAATGTAATAGTTTTGAAGGTCCTTTCTGGCTTCAAACCCATTATCCTATAAACTGTGTTTAAATCCTGATTCTATTACATACTATTTTTCTGGATCAATCTCTTCATCTGAAAGATTAAGAGGTTGAATTGCACTATGTCTAAACACCATTTAATTCTAAATCTTATGATCTGAACATATAATTTTAGTCATTCATCTTTATGCATGGACAACCATGGCCTGGTGGAGTTGTTAAAATGCAATGGTAAAAACCTGACAGAAAAGAACTGTGTTTGAGAGAGGCAGAGTCAAGATAGTGGAGAAAAGTTAGGGATTCACCTGAGTTCTCCCCAGAACCTCTCTGAACACCTTTAAATAGTGCCCTAAAACAAATTCTGGAGTGGCAGAACCACAAAAGAATGGGGTGAAATCATTTTCCAGTCAAGACTACTTAGAAGGTTGACAGGAAAGACCTGACATACCTGGGTGAGAGTGGAGCACAGTCCAACACAAGCCACACCAGCACAGCTCCAGCTCCAGTGAGCGAGAAACAGGCCTTGGGAGCCACTAAGTCAGCTGCAGCAGCAATGGATGTTTCTCGAGCTCTCAGACCACAGAAGATGGGTGGGGCAGGGTGTCAAAAATTGGTCAGAAGGAGATTAAAGGGAACACTTTACAGTTACTGAGGGCAAGACCTTGCTTTGCCCAAACTCAGATCTGGGTGGCAGTCTCTGGGTGGCAGTCACAGGGTGACGAGGAGCACTAGAACAGCACAGTTTGCAGCATCGGTGGAGTGGGGACCTTCGTCACAGTTCCAGGGCAGAAAAGAGTGTTTGTGGTCACTCATAGACCAGAGTATGGGCCAGGAGAGTAGTAAACACACCACTCCTTACATCATACCACCTTGGAAAAACTCAAAACTTACCGATGTATCTCTGAAAATAGCTGTGCAAAACTCCTGAAACTTATGACAGTGCACCCTCCACACTGTAAACAGAGCCTCACTTTAGCAAAGAATTAAAGTGAAGAAATAGACTTAAAAATGAGCAAACAACAGAAAAAAAAATTCTGACCATGGAAAGTCACTATGATGACAAGGAAGATCAAATCACAAATTCACAAGATAACAAAGTCAAAGCTCTTATATCCAAAGTCTCCCCAAAAAATATGAATTGGTCTCAGGCTATGGAAGAGCTCAAAAAGGATTTTGAAAATCAAGTAAGAAAGGTAGAGGAAAAAAATAAGAAGAGAAATGAGAGTGATGCAGGCAAATCATGAAAAAGAGTCAATGCCTCTAATGGAAGCATAAAAAAATGCTGAAGAAAATAATGCCTTAAAAATAGATTAGGCAAGATGGTAAAAGAGGTAGAAAAATGCAAGGAGGAGAATGCCTTGAAAAACAGAACTGACCAAAAGGAAAAAAAGATATACAAAAGTTCACTGAAGAGAAGTCCTTAAAAAGTAGAATTGGCCAAATGGAAAAGAAGGTACAAAAGCTCACTGAAGCAAATGATTCCTTAAAAATTAGAATTAAGAAAATAGAAGCTAATGACTTTAAGAGACTTCAAGAAACAATAATACGAAATTAAAAGAATGAAAAAATAGGAGAAAATGTGAAATACCTCATTGGAAAAACAACTGATCTGGAAAATAGATCCAGGAGAGATAATTTAAAGATTATTGGACTACCTGAAAGCCATGATCAAAAAAAGAGCCTAGACATCATCTTTCAACAAATTATCCAGGAAAACTGCCCTGACATTCTAGAAATAGAAGGTAAAAGAAATTGAAAGACTCCAGTGATCACCTCCTGAAGGAAATCCCAAAATGAAAACTCCCAGGAACATTGTAGCCAAATTCCAAAGCTCCCAGGTCAAGGAGAAAATACAGCAAGAAGCTGGAAAGAAACAATTCAGATATCATGCAGCCAGTCAGGATAACAAAAAATTTGGCAGCTTCTAGGATAGGAAGGCTTGCAATATTATATTCTGGAGCACAAATAGAGCTAGGATTACAACCAAAAATCACCTACCCAGCAAAACTGAGTATAATCCTTCAGGGAAAGATGGCTATTCAATGAAATAGAGGACTTTCAAGCATTCTTGATGAAAAGATCAGAACTGAATAGAAAATGTGACTTTCAAATACAAAACTCAAGAGAAGCATAAAAAGGTAATCAGGAAAGAGAAATCATAAGGAACTTAATAATGTTAAATTATTTACAATCCTACATGGGAAAATGATGCTTATAATTCATAAGAACTTTCTCATTTTTAGGGCAATCAGAATGAGTGTACATAGACAGCATAGGTGTGAGTTGAATATGAAGGGATAATATCTAAAATAATAAAATTAAGGGACAAGAAAGAGGAATGATGGGGCAAATTGTCTCACATAAAAGAGAGAAGAAAAAACTTTTGCAGTGGAGGGGAAGATGGGGCATGTGAGGGGTAGCCTGTGAATCTTACTCTCATTGGAATTGCTTCAGAGGGAATAACATACACCTCAATTGGGTATGGAAATCTATATTACCCTACACTAAAGTAAGAGAGGAAGGGGATAAGAGAAGGGTGAGGGTGATAGAAGGGAGGGCAGATTGGGGCAGGTGATAGTCAGAAGCAAAACACTTTTGATAAGGGATAGGGTGAAAGGAGAGAGAATAGAATGAACAGAGGGAGGGGAATAGGATAGAAGGAAATAGTTAGCAATCATGACTGTGAAAACATTTTTGAAGCAAGTTTCTCTGATAGAGGCCTCATTTCTCAAATATGTGGAGAACTCAGAGTCAAATTTATACTAAAAAAAGCCATTCCCCAATTGATAAATATTCAAAAGACATGAATAGTCAGTTTTCATGAAGTAATCAAAGCTATCTATAGCCATCTTTTTAAAAAATGCTCTAAATCACTATTTATTGGAGAAATGGAAATTAAAACAATTCTAAAGACAGAAAAGGAAAATGACAAATATTGGTGGGGATGTGGGAAAATTGAGACATATTAATGTACTTTTGGTGGAGTTGTGAACTAATTCAACCATTCTGTAGAGCAATTTGAAATTATGCCCAAAGAGGTATTAAGCCATGCGTACCCTTTGACCAATAACTGGGTCTATATCTTCAATGAGATAAAAAAAAAAGAACAAAAAAGAAAAGGACCTACACATACAAAAATATGTATAGCAATTCTTTTCTGGTGTCAAAGAATGGGAAATTCAGGGTGTGCCCATCAGTAGGAGATTGAACAAGTTGTGGTATATGATTGTGATGGAATACTATTGTGCTATAAGAAGTGATGAGCAAGATGCTCTCAGAAAAACCTGGAAAGAATTCCATAAACTGATGCAAATTGAAATGAACAGAACCAGGAGAACATAGTACACAGTAACAGCAATATTGTATGATGAATTTTGAATGACTTAGCCATTCTCAGTGATACAATGATCCGAGACAACTCTGAAGGATTACAATGAGAAATACTATTCATTCTCAGAGAAAGAACTGATGGTGTCTGAATACAGATGGAAGCATGCTTTCTTTATTTTACTTGAGTTTTTTTGGGGGGGAGGGGGTTATGTTTTCTTTTATAATATTAGTAATATGGAAATGTTTTCATGAACTCAACTTTTGGAACTCAAAAATTTAAAAACAAATGTTAATTTTTGCATGTAATTGGGAGAAAATAAAATATTAAACAAATAAAAATTATAAATTATATAAAAAGCACTGTGTTTATTTCTAATATATCCTTTACCGATTGCTTTACATTTTGTTTTACCCAAATAAACACACCTTAAGCAAATGACCCAGCCTAAAAAAAAACTGTCCACCACAAACCTTTCTTTGAACTTTGAACACAAAATTGCGCTTATCTCAACATAGTTATGTGATATTTCCTAGTCAGATAAAGAGATTTTCTCTAACAAATTATTTTACAGGTTTTCTGGTCTGTTTTGGAGCTTATATACTAACCAATGGAGCCTTTGCTGCTTCTAAAACATTACATCATCAGATGCTGGACAGTGTGATGCATCTTCCATTCCAGTTCTTTGAAACCAATCCCATTGGCCAGATCATCAACCGATTTACTAAGGTAAATAAGTGAAATTGCAAAGCTCTTAGTATAGGAAAAGCTAATTTATCTGAAGTTGATTCATTTGGAAATCTCTGTTAACAAACACTAGAGAACAGTAATATTCCAAGTTCAAAATCTTGTAGTAGCTGAAAGAAAATGATTCAGTCATTGGATCAATTAATAGCACCAGTGGGTAAATTGAAGTTTAAATGTAGTCTCAAAAGTATATGATTCTTAGCATCCTCTGTCCCTTTCCCACTACACTGACAAATAAAAGGGGGCTACATAGGTCTGAGGACCATTTTGTATTTCGATTTGTTTCATGAGCTGCCATGGCCAATGAATTCCTTACATAATAGTCATCCTACTGATGGTGAACTGCTACATACTTAGAAGTACTTCACTAAGCTGATTCTTGTTAAGCAGATTTGATCTATCACTGCAACCACGCATGATGTCATGCTAGCTTTGTAGAAGTTGGCAGACCTTATACTCTTTTAAATATGGTCTTACAAACTCAAGCTCACCTTCAAACAAAAAAAAAGGCAACATAGGAGAACTTTTGTATGCTCAATTGGGGAGATTTTAGTTAACACTTTTTAAAATGTATGTGGCATATTGCTTGCCTTCTCAATAGGTGGGGGAGGGTCTGGAGGAAGGTAGAGAATTTGGAACTCAAAATTTTTCTAAGTGAATGTTAAAATAAATAAAATAAAAAATATTATGAAACAAAGAAATATGCATGGTAGTATAGAATAGACAATTTTACAAAAAATAAGAGATCTCAAAGTGTAAGATCTCCAAGAGAATTTATTATTGATTGCTAGTAGAATGTTAGTCCTTCAGGGAAGAGAATGATGCATTTTTATCTGTATCCCTGGTCTAGCAAAGTACCTTGTCTACTCAATAAGTATTTTTATTAATAGCTTTTGTTTTTATACCACCTTCATTTCCCAATATATTTCTTTTCCCTCTTGTTGAGGGTCAAAGTGGTGGTAGCATCCCTACCTGCCTGGCATTTGCTATGTCTTTTCTTTCTTCCAGTGTGTCTTGATGCTTCAGCTAGCCTACCTTGCCTGCAACCTTGAGGCCTCATGGGACCTCTAGGTCTACAAGTGCAGCCCTTTGACTGAATCAAATTTGTTCTGTGAAGTTCAGTCAAAGGGCCACACTTGAGGACCTAGAGGGTCACATTTTCAAATCCAAACTTCAAAGAACAAATTTGATTTGATCCCTTGCCTTATTATTTTGTGGTGGTGGGAATAAGGTAAGGCAGGAAGTAATAAAAAAAAAAGATGTGTAAAGGAACAGGGAATGTAGTCAATCATCAAAAAGAATGATGGGCAAAAATGTTTTCATTGAATTAATGCTCCTTCTTTATACCAAACGCTGAATTTAAGTACTGAGAGAAATAACTCAATGTATATCCTGACTTTTCAGGACATGTTTATCATTGATGCGCGTTTCCATTATTACTTACGGACCTGGGTGAACTGTACGCTGGATGTTCTTGGAACCGTCTTAGTCATTGTGGGTGCTTTGCCACTCTTCGTTCTTGTGGTGATCCCCCTTGTGTTCATGTATTTCACTATACAAGTAAGTCAGTGGATCTTTAGCTCTCTGTAATCTCACTAATGCATAATTTATTAATGATACTAAAATTCCCCTCGGTCTCTGATTCTTTTAGAATTTAGCAAAGAGAAGAGCAGAAAGGAAACAAATTCTCAAAGTATCTAGAATTCTTCTCAATATATCAGTATAATTTAACTCTTGAATCTTAAAATATAGGAGGAGGATAATGTAAGGCTAAATATAATGCATAAATTTTATATTTTCAATAGAGAGTTTCAAAACAAAAAGATATGTGAAGGGGGTAAGGGTAATGGAGTTATGCTAGGGTTATCTTGGACCGGGGGTGGGGAACCTGTCCTGGCCTATACTTTTCCAGTTCTCCAAATTGGGAGATATTTGCTTGCCTCACATAGCCAAAGATGTATCTCCAATATTTATGCTTATTCAATGATCTATGGAATCTAACTGATAAAGGATAGGGATGCTGAAGGTATGCTTCACTTATTTGAAATTTTGCCTAAGGGTAGTTCTGTAGACATTTCTTTGCTGGAATAAATCTGTGCCATCTTCTTCTGTCCTCTAATAGAAGTAATTAGGTACTGTATGCTTAACTATACTGGGATATACATACGTTAGAGTTGTAAAAATTAACAGCCTTGGGGCAGTGGGTAAGACTTGCAGAATCTCTGCATTCACAGCAGTTTCAGGGACCACCTAATTCAATCCACATCTAAGCGAGAATCCATTCTGCAATATCTCCAATGAGTAGTCACCCAACCTCACTTTGAAGACCTCAAATGAGGGGAAAGCTACCCCTTTCTAACATTTAGACTAAATTCACTTCCTAACAAATTCCACCTTCCAGTTCTGAACTTTGGAGTCAGGCAGAGAATAATTACTCTTTCATTATGAAGACCTTAAAATATTTGGGGGGAAGGGGAAAGCACAGTAAAGCATCTATTGACAAGAGAGACTTGATGTGGGAGATGATGAGAGAGGAACTGTCTGTAGTGTAAATGGAGGGTAACTACCCACAACTCATCCAGAAAAAAGTAACTAGAGTGATGAGGGGGTCTAGAAGCCATGCCTTGTTGAGCACTTAGAAGACCTGGGTTCTGGTTCTGGCTTCTCCACTAACTATCCTTTTATGGCCTTTGGTAAATTATTTAATATCTCTGGGTCTCATTTTATTAATTAGTAAATTAAGAGGTTTAAACTAGATGAACTCTAAGGTCTTTGTAAGCATTTAAAAATAGCATGATTCGGGGCAGCTAAGTAGCTCAGTGGATAAAGCTTTGGCCTTGGAGTCAGGAGGACCTGAGTTCAAATCCAGCCTCAGACACTTGACACTTACTAGCTGTGTGACCTTGGGCAAGTCACTTAACCCTGATTACCTCACCCCCCCACAATATATATATGTGTGTGTGTGTGTGTATGTGTGTGTATGTATGTATATGTATATATATATATACATGTATATGTATATATATATACATGTATATGTATATATATGTATATGTATATATACATGTATATGTATATATGTACATGTATATATACATATACATGTATATATACATATACATGTATATATACATATACATGTATATGTATATATATACATGTATATGTATATATATACATGTATATGTATATATATATATGTATATATACATGTATATGTATATATGTACATGTATATATACGTATATATATGTGTATATATATATGTGTGTGTATGTGTATATATATATATACATATATATGTATATATATATACATATATATGTGTGTGTGTGTATATATATATGTATATATATATATATATATATATATATATATATATATATATATATGATTGGGAAATGTTAGGGGCAGCTAGGTGGTGCAGTGGATAGAGTGCCGGGGGACCTGAGTTCAAATCTGGCCTCAGACACATAACACTCACTAGCTGTGTAACTCTGGGCAAGTCACTTAAACCCAATTGCCTTACCAAAAAAGAAAAAAAAATAGCATGATTCTTTGCACAAAACCCTCTATATGGCAAGCACAAAAAATATATTTTTTTGGAGTATAGAAATAATATCTTGCTTAATAATGAACCTTTGGGCAAAGCTAGTATCTCAAATGAATTCTTTCAGGTTTTTTTGATGTCAAAAACCAGTTTTGTTTTTGCCAATTTGTAATCTGCACTTTTTGGGTTCTTATTAGAGATACTACATTGCAAGTTCTCGACAAATCCGGAGGTTAGCAGGAGCGTCCCGTTCTCCTATTATATCACACTTCAGTGAAACTTTGGCAGGAGTATCAACAATACGAGCTTTTGGACACCAGCAGAGGTTCATCAGCCAAAACAGAGACGTTGTCAATGAGCATTTGGTTTGCTTCTACAACAATATCATTTCAAACAGGTAAGGATGGACAATCACATCTACCTAAATCTACTACAAATCTTTTCCCTATTTGTCATCTTTTCTACCATCTGGAAAAATAGAATAAAGGTTTACACTCTACATAATAAAATTTTAAAAAATATTGAATGTTAAAGCTATAATTATTTCCAAATTCTATGATTACACAATTAAGAAAAATACATTTACTCTATTTTGTAGTATTTACTGTAAATATATGAAATATAAAATACTATATAAAATATATAGTAGACTATATATAAATACTATATAGGATATGTTAAAATACTGTATAAAATACAAAAATGAATTTACTTTCTGCTTAATAGGAAGAAAACATAGATCAGGTTTTTGTCAAAGTATAGAATAAGTTTAATGATATTAGTAACACTAATGATGTTCTATAGTATGTTTTTATACTTGTAAGTCAGATTATAGAATGTAATATAAAAAGTATAATAAACTTCTTTTGATGTTAAACTCACATTGAGAGTAATAAAATGAGTTATTTTTACAGTACTTGGACACATTCTTCCCTTTTATTTATTTTCTGTTCTCGTTTATTGGAAAACATATAAATTGGAGAGGTATTTATTTTCCAAGATGATGTATTTTTAAGTAAATGTAAAAAGCCTTTAGATGGATTTTTGACATTTTTTGGTTAAGTTGGTAATATGAAAGGTCTTGGAGAAGCCCAGATTTCTGTATAAACGCTAGTAGATATTTGAAAAGAACCCCTGAAAGACCAATGATTAAGAAAACTGAAAAGAATCAGAAGTAAGCTTTTCCATCCAGTCCAGAATTCTACAAATAAGGTCTGAAACCTATGGAGGTGGGTAAAGGGTTTGCACCAAGGAAACCAGCAGCATGTCAGATAAACCAAGTAGGTGCTAGTGGGGAGAGAGGGAAAGGAGATAGCACAAATAAAGGAAAACAGATCAGAAGCCAGCAGAGATAGCAGGAGAAGCTAGAATGAACATGAGCCAGACTTAATCTACCCAGCCAGCATTCTGAGTAGTATAGTAAAGCATTGTAAGGAACAGTAACTTGGGACATGAAGCCCGATCCAAAAACTGGCCCTTCTTCATAACAGAAGCAGGGACAGAAGCAGCCCTGGTATATTACTCGGTAGGAAAACAAGGTCTAGCAGTGTACTCCCCAAGAGAACTGGGAATGACGGCCAAAGAGGGGATAAATTCAGGTCACAGCAGGGTAGGAAAGCAGAAACCCACTTTAATCTCCAGCTTTTTCTGTAAGTCCTTTCATGAGATTGGGAAGAGATGGGACCAACTCCTGATTAGGGAGTACAGGGAGAAAATAAGGTCTGGCCAAAACCAGCATCCAGAGTGGACCATAAAGAAACTAAAATAGGAGCCAAAGACTGGGCCAAGAGGTAAGGGCTAATACCATCCTTACATGTCCAATGCAGTAGTGACTGAAGCATCCAAACTACAGAGAGAGGACTAGACCAGAAAAGTTCTATCCAACCCATCCAATAGGGCTGGATGAAAGTTATATTCCCTGCAAAACCACAAATGAAGAGCAAATGCTAAGATGTGAGTAAACAGAAAATACCACCTACAATGAAGAAATGGTCTGGGGTAAGAGGTAAACCCAGACCATATCTATAAGCAAAGACTCAAAGGGAAAAATAGTTTGACTTTAAGGGCTACAAAATTTGTGGAAGGAATAAAGCAAGAGATAAAACATGAAATTAGAAATGAGTATTTGGGAGGAACTGAAAGGAGAATGAGTAGGTGGAAAAAAAGATGGAAAGCCTTGCTTGTACTCCCTATGGAACAGAATAGAAAAAAAAACTCAGTGATTTTGTGAGAGAACAAGAAAAATTAGAAAAAAAAAGGAAAGAGATGGGAAAAAATAGACTAAAAGATATCTACTATTTTAAAAAATTGGAGAACTAGATGGCTCAGCAGATAGAGCACTGGCCCTGGAGTCAAGAAGACCTGAATTCAAATCCACCCTTACACACTTACTAGTTGTGTGACTGACCCTGGCAAGTAACTTAACCTCTGTTTGCCATAATCCACTGGAAAAGGAAATGGGAAACCTATCCATTGTCTTTGCCAAGAAAATCCCATGGATAGTATGGTCCATGGGGTCACAGAATTTAACACAACTGAATAACAGGTTTTTTTTAACTGACCTAGAAATAGGTCAGGGATAGATAATTTAAGAATCATTGTATTCCCTAAAACCACTATTAAACAAAAATATATTTCAAGAAATCATAAAATTTTCTGTACCTACTCAACCCAAAGGGCAAAGTGAAAACAGAAAAAAAAATTATTAATCATATCTAGAAATAAACCTTAAATTGAAATCATTCGAGACTATTATAACCCAAATCTAAATATTCCAAATAAAAAGAGGAAAAATAGTCCAAGAAGCCATAAGAAAAGAGTTTGAATACCAAGGAACTCCAAGCAGAATCTAAAATCTCACTTTCTAGTGAGAAAGACTTTTTCATTCCCCCTTAATGCATCTCCTTTCACTTTGTGATTATCTCTACTTTATCCTATACATATTTTGTTTGTAGGTATATTTGTTTGTATATTGTATCTTTTATTAGCTGGAACTTCTTGAGAGCAAGAGCATTTCTAACTTTCTCTGTGTCCCCAGCATTTAGCAAAGAGCCTGACACATAGTAGGAGCTTAATAAATGCCTATTGACTTGGCTTCAATATAATATTCCAAAAGGTAAACAAGGTTTATAATGAAAAATAATATACTCTGAAAAACTGAGTATAGACTTATAGTAGAAAAAAAGAGGATTTTTAGCATTTCAGATAAAAGGACAGTGCAAAGTAGAAGCTTTGAAATGCAAATGTAGGAATCTAGAGAACCGTAAGAAGGCATATAGATGTGCACAATTGAAAAGGACCATAGGATGATGATATGTTTGCATTTTAATATGGGGAGAAACTAAAAGTATCTCTGCAGAATCCTAATGTCATCAAAGGTCATGATGGAGTTGAAAAGACTAATGTAGGACCTGGCTGTGGTTTTGTTCTATTTTGTTGGGTTTAAGAAGAAAAGAAAAGGAATAGCAAAAGGAATACACTAGGAAAGAAATGAAGAATCTGAACCAGATAAAGGAGGGATGAACACACACGTACACACACATGCACATTCACATTAACAAATAATTTAACGTAGATTGTAAACTCAACAAGGTACAGGAAAAGAAAGAAAAAAGAAAGTAGGAAACGAGAGAGTAGACTTGGGGATGGACCAGTCACAAATATGACAAATTTCACCTTTGCAGGGTTGATTATAAAAGGAATATTAGAAAGAGAGAAACTGTAAGTACCAGGAATTAGTCTGAGCTTGTTGAAAAGAGGACAAAGGACCACTATAAATATTATTAGTGGTGATCTGATTTCCCCACTTTCTCTTGCACCTTCTTCCTTGTGAAGAGAGGCATGAGTGAAAAAGAAAAAAGTATAAAAGATTATTATGGAAGGAAATACATTGCTAACAGTTATAATAGCGAGAATGAATGGGATGAATTCATTCATTATCATCACAACTAATATGTTTATAGTAGCACTTTAAGGTTTACAAAATATGAAACATTTGATGTTGACCATAACTATCTTATTTTATTATACACTATTTACTGATGAGGAAATTGAGGTTCTGAGGGTTTAAGTGACTTGTCCAGGGTTACACAATGTAAAGATAATTTTGATACCCCTACTCAATTAATCAGCATTTATTCAGTTCATTGTGATTTGATGGTTATCAGTGACTGTTTTAGTAAATTAAGTAGAATAGAATTCAGAGTCAGGTAATTATGTTAGTTAATGCTACTAGGATAAGAGTTATGATTGATTAATCCACCTCGGATTGATGATTATGTTAATTGTACTTGATTTACCAGATAGATTCATATTATCAACTAAGAATGTAATTGCTACACTAACCACCATCCCTCCCTCCCCTGACCCTGAGCAAAGTGATTCTAATAAGGATCATTTGCTTTTCCACCCTCATGAATCGTTAGCATCCACTCCCTTGTGATCTTTTGCTTCAAAACCACAACTTCCTTGGTCCCTAGGAAATGGCTAGTCAAACACTATTATTTGAGAAGCTGTGGAAAACCCCTGTTAATATGACAGATAGAAAACCCTTGCTGAGGAAGCCGGCAATTGACAGCCTTTAATTGATGCTTTGAAGCTGTTGTTGTTTGTCCTTTGTTCTCAGAGAAGACCAGTGATATCAGGAGGTTTATGTCTTGACTTGCAAGTAAATTGGATTTAAGTGAGGCAGGGCTGTGCAATGTCATCAACCTGACTCTGTCCTCCAGGGTCATTTGAGTCCAGTGGCAAGAACAGGACCTGTGAAAAACCTGTTGACAAAATGGTTATAACTGATGGACATTCCCCTTATCCAACTATGGGATCTTCTCTGCTTTTGAAGGATAACCAATCATAGGAGTTTCCACACTTTAGAAGGACCCTCCCAAGGACTACAGGAGTTCCCAGAGACTCTTCTTAGGTCTATAAAATTCCTCAGTCCTAATCATCATGATCCTAGGCCATGAGGAAGATCTTAGATCTGATTGCTTTAGGATCACTGGTCTCTGAAATAGATCAATTACAACTCAGATCCCTGCCTCAGTGGTGTTTTATTGATGATTGGAATTTTGCAGCTCACAAGAGCTAAATACTGTCTGAGGCAGTACTGGAACTCACCTTCCTGACTCTAAATTCTACATATTACATCACCTAGCTGCCTACTATGACACCTAGCTGCCGTAAAATGGAAGAAAGAAATAGAATGAATTAGAAGTAGAATCCAACAAAATGTCATTTATAAAAACATAAGCATTCAAAGAGACTTAAATGAATGGCCAAAGCAGAACTGGTCATGCTTTAGATACATAGTTGTGAAACTACAGTCTGTAGGCTACCTGTTTTGTATGGCCTATAGGAATGTTGTTGTTGTTTTTTTTACATTTTTAAATAAAGTTTTATTTTATTTAAAAATGTAAAAAACATTCTTAACTCAAAAGCTGGATTTAGCCCTTTGCAATGGTTTGCTGACCCCTGATTCAGATGAATAAAGAAAAAGTAGGGGTAATAGTCATGATCAAAGACAAAGCAACATTAAATGTGCATACTTAAAAGATATAAGCAAGAAAACTCTATGATGATTGGACATTTAGGTCCTGAAATAATATCAATATTTGATAAATATATACATTGAATTGCATAGTATCTAAGTACTTTAAAGAAAAGTTAACTCTGTTGCAAGAGAAAATAGATAGTAAAATAGTAATAATTGGGAATCCCAATCTGTCCCTTTTAGCATTTTCAGAAAAATCTAATAAAAATAGAAATAATAGAAATAGAAGAAATAAAAAAATAAAGAAGTTAAGGACTTAAATAGAATTTTGGAAAAGTTATATAAGATAGATTGCTTACAATTATTGAATGGAAATTGAAAGTACATATTTTTCTCAGCTTTGAATGCCACATTTACAAAAATTGACTGTATACTAGGGTTTTAAAACCTCATAAATAAATGCAGAAAAGAAGAAAGAGTAAAAAGCATCATTTAGTGATCACAACACAATAAAAATTACAGTCACTGAAGGGCTTTTGAAAAATAGATCCACTTAACCCTTCCCAGCAATACAAAGATCTAAGATATCTCCAGAGGCCTCATGATGGAAAATGCTGTCCACATCCAAAGAAAGAACTGCGAAAGTTGAATTACTAATTTTTTTTTCTCTTCTGTTGAGTTTTGTTTCCTCTTTCTGATGATTCCTCCTATTGATTTTAATTTTTACTTACGACACCACTAATGTGAAAATATGTTTAATAGGAATGTAAATCTATAGCTGATATCAGAAAAAAAAAAAAAAGACTAGATCCAGGGCAGCTAGGTGGCACAGTAGATAGAGCAGTGGCCCCTAGAGTCAGGAGGACCTGAGTTTGAATCCAGTCTCAGACACATAACACTCACTAGCTGTGTGACTCTGGGCAAGTCACTTAACCCCAATTGCCTCACTTGGAAAAAAAAAAAACAAAACAAAAGAATAGATAAAAATGGAGATTAAATTATTTAATTGTACAGGTTGATGGATCAAATAAAAAACAATAAGGCAATATATTAAAACTTTTGGGATGTAGCCAAATCAATACTTAGGGAAATTTTTATATCTCTTAACTGTCATCAACAAAAGAGAGAAAAAAATCAGATCAATAAACTGAGCATGCAATAAAAAAATAGAAAAATAACAAAAGATGTCAAAAAGTAAAAAAAAAATTTCAAACCTAAAATTGAAAACAAAAACCTATTTAAAAGATACATGAATCTAGTGGCTAGTTAAAAAAAAAACTAATGCATAGAATCTTAAAATTTGATTGTTTAAAAAGAGAGGAAAATCAAGTTGTCAGTTTCAATAATGAAAGTAGATAATTCACAATAAACAAAGAGAATATAAAGGATATTACTAGAAAGTATTTTGCCCATGTATATGCCAATAAAAGTGATACAAAATGCATGAATGTTTACAAAGATATAAAATGCTTAAATTAACCAAACAAAAACCAAAGAATAACCTAATCTCAGGTGGAGGTATGAATAAGCCATAACAGAATTTCTTAAAATGGAGAGGGAGATGCAAAGAGAGAGATTTGCAATTGAATTCTACCAAACATTTAAAGAATAATTAATTCTAAAATTGCGTGTCTGCTAACATAGGATAGAATAGATCCTATCCTATTCTTTTTATGAGACAAATGTGGTCCTGATACCTAAATCAGGGAGAGATAAAGTAGACAAAGAAAGTTATAGTCTCATATCCATAATGAACATGGATACTAAAATATTAGTTAAGAGATTATAATAAAATGTAAATAGATTATACTCTATGACCAAGATTGATTTATAGTAGGCATTCAAGGTTGGGTCAATATCAAGAAAACAATAAACATAATGTCCTATGTTTAGTAACAAAAATAATCTAAAACTCATAATTATATCAATAAAGAAAAGGTTTTTGATAAAATACAACACCCTTTTTGTTGAAAAGATTATAAGGCAAGAAAAAGAAATGGAAGAAATAAAAATGGAAAATAATACAATACAAAATAAATCCACAAATCATCAGCATTTCTTTATATTATCAACAAAATCTATTAGCAAGAATGAAAAATAATCACAAAAGGCAGAAAACAACTGGGAGTACCAACATAAAGGTAGGCAAATAACAAAACTAACAATACTATCTATAAAAATTTATTTAAAAAATGCTATGATGGGTGATAACTGAAATAACTGAGGAAACAAATGTTGAAGCTTCTGAGCATATGGATTTACTAAGCAATGCATGCCAATTGCATAACAAATTAGGACCAGGCCTCCTCAGCTTGTCTCTGGATTCATAATTGAATAGAAAGGGAACCAAGCTAGATACAGAACTGAGTCACAAGATGGAATCAGTATGGTTTACTCAATTCCCACAGTTCCAAAGTGTAAGAATTTGACCCAGTGATGCTGCTATTAATATTATACCTCAAAGAGACCAAAGAAAGAGGTAAAAGACCATTGCTGCTGATAACTGTTTAATAAGTAGCTCTCTCGGATGAAAATAAATACATGACACACTTTTAAATTTAATCTGCATTATTAACATTTTCCCAACTTATTCTGAAGTCTAGAAAATAAAAATTAACAAATTAAGTCCATTCTTTAGTATTTACTTATTTCCAAGGTATAAAAATGTTCGCAGTGAAAATTTGACCATCAGATCTCACAAGTTGGTATGAACTGGCTGCAGCACACCTTTGGAAAGAATCTATATGTACAAAAATATTTATAGCATCACCTTTTTTTCTCATAGCAAAGAACAGGAAACAAAGTGGGTAATGGCTGAACAAATTATAGTATGTGGATGAATTGGAATATTTTTTGCTATTAAAAATGGCACAAGGGATAGGATCAGAGAAAATCTGAGGACTCTTAGGAACCCATATATAATGAAGTGAGTAGAATTAGAACATATTATACAATGACTGCAATATTGCAAGAAAAACTCTGAAAATACTTAAGAATTATGATCAAAGCAGTGACCAGTTACAACTTTGGAAGACAGATGATAAATAATGCTTCCCATTTCTTGGCATAGAAGTTATGAAATGGAGATGCAAAATGAAACATTTCCAGACACGGCCAATGTGTGAATTAATTTTATATTATTTAATATTATCTTATATATCTGTTTATAAGGAAGAACCTAAATTTTTATTTTGGGGGATGGTTGGGGGCAGGGAAAGGAAGGAGAGAAATAAGAGGAGTATGTAAATTGTGATAGTGGGACAGAATGGAGAACAAAGGAGAGGACAGAAAAGGAGAAAAGAAAGAAGCAAGAAGAGGAGAGGAGGAGAAGAGAAAGAAGAGGAGAGAAAATAAAGGTCAATGAGTTATTTTAAAAATACAGAGAGCAGAAAGGAAGGGCACACAGATAAGCCAGGCAGTGTTGGAATTATCATGCTCAATTTCAATTTGAAGTATAAACAAATTGTTCCAAAATTATAATTGCAAAAAAAAACTGCATAGAAGAAAATAACCCAAATTACACATAACAGAACTTCAGTTTCATAGCATGCTATTTGTTTTTCACTTTATATTGAAGCACCCATGTTTATTGATGTTGATTAAATTCGTAATAAGAATATCTAACAAAGATAGATTTTAATTTTCTTTCTTTTTTAATGAGTTGGGTCAAAAGCAAAATTGTGCAAAGTGATTGGTTCCTACTCCTTCAAACATAAGATATCTTACCACCTGTTATAGCTGACTTTTTAAATACTCTTTGGACTTCATTGCCATTAATGACTATCATTTTCACTGCAGGTGGCTCTCTGTTAGACTTGAATTCCTTGGCAACTTACTGGTTTTCTTTGCTGCATTACTCGCTGTCCTGGCAGGAGATGCAGTGGACTCCACAACAGTTGGTTTAATCATATCTTATGCATTAAATGTAAGTAATGATCATTCTTTTTGGCATTGTTGGAGTTTTCCAGACAGCAAAGATGGATCATTGACTAAAATATGATTTCCTTTGACAATTCAAATCAAATGCTAGGTACAATTAAGTATAATTTGAAAAAAATAATAATCTTAGGCAATTCTGTGTAAATTTGATATCAAGCTCTGGGCTTATTTTGAGATAACTTTCTCAAAAAGTAGTTCTAATTCCCTAATTTTTTGCATAAATGTAGTAAAAACAAAAACAAAAACATTAGTCATGCATTGTTATTGCCCCTGGGTACCAAGAACTTCATATTACTGCCTATATTCAGCTTTTATAGAGTGAAAGGCTGAATTCAGTTCCTAAAGTTTCAAGGAAAGGATTCACAGTGACAGCGTCATGTGTATTCATCCCTTCCTTTCCATTTATTGCGTCCCTAATTACATCTCTTCTGTACTAATGAAATAGCCTCCTAACTGTTCTCTTTGTTTGTAATCTCCCAGAACTGACCATAATTCCTGGTCAAATCTCTGCAGATTAATCTTCCAAAGGCACATCTCTATTCATATTACCCTATACTCAAAATTTTTCAATTGCTTATCAATATTTTACATATAAAATCCAAGTTCCATAGCCTGGCATTCTAAGTCCATCAAACTTTGGCCACAGATTACATTTCCACAGATTATCTTCCACTACTTCTTTATACAAATAAGGTTGCATCACCTTCAAATTCAGCAAAGTTGGGAGTTATAAGGGGCAAAAAATAGAGAAATTGAAATAGAAAGATAAAGACCTTTCTATTGAAAATAAAACTCCATACCTTTGAAAGGGCATTACTATTGTTCAACTGCATAGGGAAAAGCCAATAGAAGCAATGAATTTTCCTCTAGGCCACAGACTTCAATCATGCTTGCACAACTAGCCGCTTTACCATGTAAGACTGCAGTAGGGGTTGGGGAAATATAACTGACTGAATTGGGGCTATTACCATGAGCAAATGTGGAACTCCCTTACTGAGGGAACTGACTGAACCAAGACAGACTGTCAAACAGGAAAGATTAGATCTCTCCCACCTCTTGCATATAGGTAATAAAACTCAGCTCAGAATGAGGAAGTCTAAGGCAAGAAGCTTCTTTCAATCTAGGCTAAGGATGAGTCCTGGAGATGAAGGAGCACATTAACATGACAGCTGAAGAAAGTACAGTCCCACCCAGCCAAGCCAGAGGCTGAAGGTGATGAAAGATAGAAGCTATTCAACAAAGAGAAAGTCCAGGGCAGGGGTGGAGAACCTGTAGCCTTGAAGCCATATGTGACCTTCTAGATCCTCAAGTGTGGCCTTTTGACTCAGTCAAGTTTTACAGAACAAACCCTTTTATTAGGGGGATTTGTTCTGTGAAATTTGGATTCAGTCAAAGGCCACACTTGAGGACCTAGAGGGCCACATGTGGCCTTGAGGTGGCAGGTTCCCCACCCCTGATCCAGGGAGTTCAATAGATTTAGCTATCTAGAAAAGACTTTGGTCCAGAAGATAGTCCAGGGATTGAGCAATGTATCCCAGTCCAGTAGCCAAGCACCCTAATTACTTAGCCCACCCAATATGGCAGCAGCTGCTTGGTGGCCGAGTAGCCAATCCAGCAATACCAAGTGGCCAGTACTTTGCCAGCCCGACCCAGCCGCAGCCATACCCAGATGCTGAGCACTCTAGTCTAGTCCAGAGGACTGAGGAAGAGCTGTCTTGGTAGCCAAGTGACCTGCTTGACCAAGTCCAGCAGCATATTGACTCCAAGATGCCATGTCTTACCAGGGACAAGCCATGAATGGACACCTCCAGAATAGACACTGTACCCTGTAAAAAGCTAGCCCAAGTAAACAGTAGAATCACTCATACCTCACAGATGCCATGTTTTGCAGCAAACTTTACGAGGACTCTCTGGAAAAACTATGAAGGGCGTACAGTTCTGGAGCTGTAAGCTGCCTTGTCTTTGTGTGTCTCTTACATACGTATCTCACTACCATGGTATTTCTAGTTTGTGCCCACAGACTACCTATGTTTGTGGGTGAGTACACCCCAGGTTTGGGGAAGGCAATGCCTTGCAACTACTGTTCTTGATATGCCATTTGAGAATATGCCTTTGCTAAAGAAATGGGTCATCTGGTTATTAAGCAGGAGCATGTGAGCCATAGGAGAGGAGGAAATTGACCCGCAGGGCTATTCTTAGAATACTGAGCAGCCACCCTTCTGGGGACCCAAACTTCCAGTTCCAGTTTAGATTAGGGAAGGAAGCCTGGAGGGGGTTTCATATAAACAAAATTGTACTACTCACCCATCCTGTAACATCCATGAGGATCTTCTAGCCTGCCAACTTTTGCTCATGTTACCCATTGTGCTTAGAATTTCCTTTCTCTCTTTCATCTTCTACCTATCTTTCAAGGTCATATTCAAATGCTACCTCCTTTATGAAGTCTTTCCTGCTTATTCCAGCTTGAAGGGCCCGTCTTTCCTTGTTATTACTGTAGTACTTCTCCTTAATGCATCCACCACATATTGCTCTATGTTGAGTTATTTGTGTAATTATTAGTGTATACGCTCCTTGAAAGCAAGAACTGCAGTTTACTCATCTTTGTAGCCTCCATAGCACCTGGCTAAAAGTAGCTGGTACAGAGAAGTTACTCAATATTTATTGGTAACAATGTCTTTGCTATCTATTTTTTTAAAGAATACTGTAAGTATTAAATGAGAAGTGAAATATTTTATATGTCACAAAGTGCTATATGATGCCAGCTTTTAATATTAGTTGCATAATGAATGGTCTAACTTTTACTCTTTTTTTTCTCTGAATTCCATTATTTATATCATCTAATATTTAAAGACAGAATTTATGTATACATGTCAAACAAACCAGAAAATTAATTTAAAAAATATTTTTCAGATTACTCAGTCTTTGAACTTTTGGGTTCGAAAAGCATGTGAAATTGAAACCAATGCAATTTCCATTGAAAGAGTTTTTGAATATACAAACATCCAGAAAGAGGTGAGCTTTCCAAACCCTTTATCAATTAATATAACAAGAAGACAGATGTTCTTCACTTGAATTGGAGGTAATTTTTTGTAAAAGTAGTTTATCAAAATGTAGCAAAGGTACATATAGTATGAGGGGGTCATTGTGTGGCTCAGTGGGAGATAGAATAGACATTTCCAACTGCTTCTCTTTCCATTCTTCTTCAAGAAAGACTTAACTTCCTGCCAGGAGGGGGAAGTAGGAGGTTAGAGCCAGAAACTTGGCCACTCTGCTGTCCTCAGAGAGAGGAGTACTGAGCCATAATTATATCTATCTGCTCCCTTAAATATTATTAGTCTAGGTGTGATGGTTTTCAGATTCAAGATTACTTCTGATCAGCACCCCTTTATATTCAAGGCTTGACTTTCTCCCCACCAAATATCAGTTCACAATAAACACACAAAGGAAGCCATTTATCAAAGTCCATAGCGGGACAGAAATCAGAGATAGTAAATCTAGGAGAAAAATATATCAGATGATACAGAGTGAAGGGTCTTTCCATCGCTAAGTTCAAGCAAGAGAGAGTCCTAGAGGAGGTTGAAGCTGGTGCTGGCCTGAGGAGCTTAGAGGATTGCTAAAATGAGTCTATAGAAGTAAACTCTTAGTGATTTCCTAAAGCAAATCGTAAGAAGATGGGTTGTAGTAAAGTTAAATTCTGGAGTTGACTACCAAGGTATCCTGGCTTGCCTGGATGCCACATGAATATAGCTCTGGAACAAACAGGAGAATATGTAAATGGACAATTAAAGAATAAGTATGGGGATACATTTATTTGAGGAAACAATGTGTTATATATAAGTACACAGAAGAGAAGAATGTGAAGATGTCAGGAAAGGAATAGTTTTTGTATTTTCACATATTTTTTTAAAAATAAAAAAAATTGTTCCTATTTTTGTTATGTAAAATGTCCTGTTTTTGTTATAGCTTATGCACTGACTTGGGGGAAAGAAGTAGAGTTATTTTAAACATTCATAAACTAATGGTTTCAGTTATACAGAGTTCTTTCACCCTTTAAGTTTTGGTAACTTTCTTCTTACTGTGCCAGTAATATGAATTAAAAAAAAAAAAGGTAACAGATTGTTACCTACTGCAGCTGGAAAAAAAAAGAGTCCTGGATCTCACACAAGGGGAAGTTCCTTCAAATGTCTAGTATAGCAAGGTGGGGATAGGGATGTGATGGAGACTGCCAGCTCTTCTCATGTCAACAACCTGAAGTGGGCTTGGCACCATCCATTTTCTCTCTCCAATTTGGAAGCCAGAAGTGCCTAAAAAGACTGAAGAACTGAAGAGACTGAAACAAGTCCATAAAAATCAGAGCTCTCCTCTCTCCTGTTCTGGCCAATTCTTCTCTGCCCCTCATGACAACCCAAGACAATGATCTCCACCAGTAAGAAGAGGGTCCCAAACTAAAGGGATTTGAATCACTTGGGTTACAAAATATGACTTGCACTTCAAAACTGATCCTATGTGGTATAACTATATTTTACTTAAAAGCCACCTGTGTAGTGTAGTCTATTTTTAAAAGCCCCATTTAAAGTTGCATAGATTACCATATACAGTCCTGGGATAAAATACATCAATCCTGTAATTTTAAAAACTGTGGTTGTAATAAGGGAAGATTATATTGATGTAGTCACCTTACTATTTTGGCTATATGGAGCCAATTTATTAATTAACCATGTCCCTTCTGTTGCCTTAGACAGGGAGAAGACAGGAGACTCACATCAGCTTATTTAGTTCCTTTTTAGTAATTCTTTAAGATTTTGCAAGTAGGAAGCATGAATTAGTTGTCCAAAATGATCTTTTCAATTATTTGTCAGTTTCTCTCATTTCATTAATAATTTGATTTCATTCATTTTTGTTGCCTTGAAGTAATGAATAACAATCGTTATTGCCAAAAACATACAAATACATAAATAAAAATGCCTATAAATAAGTGTTAGATATTTTATTTTTTTTTCCTGGAGCTTTTCTGAAAGAGTAATAAGTAGAAGTATAACTGCCTGCAAAAATGACAAAACGAGATTTCAGCTCCCGCTATGGCCATGGCAAGAAATGTGCCAATTAAACAGCAGTAAAAAGACAAAAAGAAAAGAAACAAAGTCATTTCTAAAGAAAGAACAGAAAGTCACATAACCTGTTACTACTTTTAGCTGCGCTCAGCTTCACCTGCTGCCATCTGCCCCATACTTGATATCACATGATTGCTCTATTACTTTTTGAAACCTCTTGAGTAGAAAATCTGTGGGAGGCATTCACTTGTCTTCTAGGAGCCAGGAGGTAGTATTCTACCCAGTTTTGTTGATCTAGATGGCAGAGAAAGTTGGCTTTGGGTGGGGGAAGGACTCTATAGTAGAAAGCCAGAATCAATACTGTCTAATAACAGGCTTCCAGCAAGATCAAAATGTTGAGCATAAGTCCTGCCCCCAGCTTCCTGAAATGACAAAGGGTGAATATAGCAACAGAAACTGGGGGGGGAAAGAGGAAGTCTGTGGGCAAGATGGATGTACAGCAAATCATGGACAAATCCAGTCTTTTCCCCAGCCATCTCAAAATAGTAAGAAGAACACCAAGAAGAGGTGGGGGGGAGGGAATAGGAAAATATATAACAAGATCAATTTCACGGAAAAACCAGCAGAAAGAATAATAGCATACAATGAGGAAAATGAATCACCACCATTAGTAAAAGTGAAAAAAAAAGTTGAAAATCCCTAAGTAAAAGGGAAAGTACTATGAACAACTACCATGATATACCCTCCCTGGAATTATATCTGAACAACCTCTGGAGTGGTTCAAAAGAGCAAGAAATAAATAAATAAAAGACATACCAAAGAAAATAAAGGTGAAAATCAGGGTTGTCAAACATCTCAAAAACATAGGTGAGATGAGAATTTATAACAAAGAAAACATATTCTTTCTACAAAGTACATTCTGAAAGAGAGAATTAAAACCTTGCAAATCAAAATTACATCGGGAGTGACCCTCTTTGAGGGCAGAGACTGTTTCATCTTTGGTTTTGCATCCCCCCAGTGTCTGGCACAGTACTTGGCACAGAGAAGCAGATTAATAAATGATTGCTGGCTGATTAGTTCAGCCCTAAATCTTACAGGTAGGGATTCATATTTCAATGGCTCCTCATATCATGAGGTAGGCTATGACATGTGATGTTATAGAGCCACTGAAGCACTGGATATGAGAACAAGCCAATCCATTGTAAGAGAGAGAGAGAGAGATCTGGCAGAAAATCCCACTCTCTATGCTCCAGCCGTAAAGGGTGACTTTATTTATCAACCAGATGTAGTTCCTAAAGAAGAATAGAAAAAAAATTGGGAATAGAAGAGCAAGATAAGAGCAACACACTGGTTCACCTTAGATTTCATGTCAAAGTGGATCAGATTTAATACTGCTTAGTTCACCAGGAGTTTCTTTCCCCTCAAATTCACATGCTTCCTAGAAATCATTATGAGTCTCTACGGTTTTGTTTGTTGTAATCCCTGCATTCCAAGTTCTCTAACAAAAATCTCTAGATACAATAACCTCTGATAACAGTTATCTCAAAAGAATTAAAGGCAATTTTTTATAAAACTTCTGCATCTTTCTTTTGTAGCCATTGCTTGGCTATATCAGGTGTATTTGAGTTAACTAAATAGAGTATTCTTCTCTATCAGTCTTTTCTTGGCGTAATAGTTTATCTATTTTTCTTATAGGGTTCTTTCAAAACTTTAAAAATGATCATTTTTGCTAATTAAATCTTCCTATGGCAGTAGAAAGTCCCAAGTAGTATTAAATCTTCACATATCAATGAATCAACAAGAATTTATTGAGCACCTAGTAAGTATCAAGCCCTGTGAAAATCAGATGTAAGATAATTTGGAATTTTACAAATATAGTAACTAAATTCTTTGACCTAGCAATCCCACTCCTGGGCATAAATCCCAATGAGATCAATGAAAGAAAGATCCCACATATAACAAAATATTCATAGCAACATTCTGTAATGGCAAAAAGCTAAAAGCAGAGTGGACAATCATTGACTGGAGGTAGTGACTGTGACTGAACAAATATTGCTATAGGAAATTAAATGGATATTACTATATTGTAAGAAATTATAAATATAAGACATTCAAAAAAACTTAAGAAAACATATATGAAGTGGTGCACACCTAAGAAAACAGAAACAAAAGAACAATATAAATAATCACTATAATAATATAAATGAAATTAACTAAAAAGTAGCTAAACTCAGATTAAATGCAATGAGTAGTCTTGGTCCTGAGGAAGAAAAGATGAAAAATACACCTACTCTCATAGAATTAGATAATTAGAATGTTGCATATACTGTCAGGTATGACTACTTTGATGGTTAATTTTCCTTACTTGTTACAAGGGAAGTTTAGGGGGGGTGGGTGTTATACTGAGAAACAACTTATAAGAAACGACAACAAAAACCCTCAAAAGGTATTAATAAAAAAAAAATTTAAATGGAAAAAAATCCATTTTGAAAACAAATTGATCTCTTCTTAGAAATGCAAATTTTCAAAATATAGAAAAGGAATTTATTATTGTACTAATTGAATAAAATCATTATATCATACAAAAGAAAAAATACTAGCAGGAGTTGTGGAACCTTCCTTCTTTCCTCTCTCTGCATTAAGATATTAGTGTCATAACAGCCCAAAACTTTACTTTTGAAAAACTGTCATTCCTTTTGAGGTCAATGAAATAAAATTGTTGAGCTATTTTAAATTCTTCACTAATTATGAATAAAATAACATGTGACTTATATGTATTTTGTCAAATCCCCAAATGGGTAGACAAACAATGCTTAATATTCCTATTACTGAATTAGCTCAAGAAAATACTAAAGTACCCAACTGAATTAGAACAATCTGAAAGGATTTAAAAACATTGGTGGAACAAAGTACAGTGGTATAAACTTCAGTCTTAATATCAAGAGAGCTTATTTCATCCTATTACTGTAGAAAATATCTCCTCGACATCTCATAGAAAATGGGAAAGCTTGATACTTATTAAACATCAGTTTGTAGGATCTGTCCAGACTCATGTGGGCAGTATTTGCAGCAAAAAAAAATAATAATGAGAGCTATCTGGTTTCAGAATTTACTAAAGTACAAAAAAAAAATCATTTGGGAAGAGTGAGTTATTTCAAAATTGTCATTGGCATACATTTAAATATCTTTTTTGTTGTTGTTTTTAGGCACCACGGATAAAATCTAACAGGCCACCATCACACTGGCCCGATAAAGGGATAGTAGAATTTGTTAATTATGAAGCTCGTTATCGCCCAGATCTTGGTTTAGCTTTGCAAAATGTTACTTTCCGAACTCACAGTGAAGAAAAGGTACCATGTTTACAATTCTTTCTTCAATCACTATGTCTGCAATGACTCTAATATAAAATAGTTTTAAATACAAAATCATTTTCTTCCTTTGATTCTTATATCATGGAAATACATTTTTAAAGTACATGCCTTGATTGTTTTTCATAAAATTACCAGTCAAATCTATTTTTCCTTCTTTATAGAACTCAGACCTTTTAAATTAAATTACTCTTTGAAGTGCTTTCTCCATTCTTCCTTAATCCTCTGAGAAGATTCATTTGTATTCTGGGTAGGCCTGGCACCTCTTATTCAGATTCAAGTGTTAGGAAGAAATGAGGTATCTGAACAGTTAACAAAAAGGTTTACTTAACAAGGATATGAAAGGATACATTGGCAGGTCCCTGTAATTTCCACATAGTTTGTTGAGTAGGCCAGGGTATGATGAGTGGTTTTTAGATATCCACCATACTGAAGGTGCTCTTACCTTACGTGAGTAGGGCTTTTTATGTCCGTAGGAAACCAGGAAGTCTTATCAGTATAGTTAGAAGTCATTGGGAAGCTGACTCAAGGGAGGCACAGCTTGAGCTTGGCCCTACTATCTGGAATCAAGTTCTGGTTTTATTATCTTCTTAACCCATAGTGGGGTTAAGGAAGAGGAGGAGGAAGAGTGGTATCCTGGTTAGTCTTGCCACAACTTGAATGTAACGGAGGACTCAAACACAGTTTCATAAAACTCTCCTCTTTGTGGGAGAAGGATTTACTGGGTATTGGATGCCTGCTTGAGAGGCAAAGGGTGGAGTTATGTCAACTTGAAATAAAGAAGACTACCAAAGTAACAAAAACGAGGATCTTTAATTGAGGCAAGAGAATCACAATTTGGGGCTCCATGCAGCACTAAAGTACTAGAGCGTCCAAGATGGGCAGAGATAGGCAGGATTAAATACATTTCAACAAGGAGGGAATCTCTTAGTAGGGTACAGCCTTAGGAATCTATTACATAATTTGTTTTGTGTAACAACCAAAAGTCCATAGAGAAAACTGGGGGAGATTCAGGAGGGGAGAGACTGGAAACAGGGAGAATAATTAGGAGGCCTGTCAGATAAGTAAGTTTTTATGTGGTTACAGGATGGTCATTTGGGGAGGAATGTTAACTATGCCATACCATTGGGGTCCCATATTTAGTAGACTATAATTGCAATGTACAAAAATGGGATTCTAGTGACCTGAAAGCTATTGTGATGCATTTTTAATTAGAAGCATTTTCTTTCTAAAAATAAAGAAAACATATGAGCTGTTCTTAATAATCTATTTCATTACAGGTTGGAATTGTAGGAAGAACTGGAGCTGGTAAATCAACATTGACAAATTGCTTATTTAGAATTGTAGAAAAATCAGGTGGCAAAATTATTATTGATGGGATTGACATATCAGCTATTGGACTTCATGATCTACGTGGCAAACTTAACATTATTCCACAGGTAAAATATCTATTAAAATAAAATGTGTTTACTATCGGGTGTACTTCTAAGCATAAGAACTCAAGACTGTGAAAGTACTTACGCTAATAGTCTCTCTTTATCATTATAAGTATTCCTAAGTTTGTGTAACAAATGTGTAAAGATAATTTTATGAACGGAATATTTTAAAGAAGAGATAGCATGTTGTTGTGTATAGAAGGCTGACTTTGGAATCATGGGATCCCAAATTCAAGGCGTGCCTGAAATATACTGTTGTGCAATTGTGGACAAATCTTGACTTCAAAATGTCCCAGTTAACTAAGACTTGAAGTTACAGCTGAGGGAGTTTCCATTTGGAATTCCTTGAGTGGATGAAGTCAGGTGAGAGGGGATGATAAGGAATATGTTGGAGATACTTTTTAACAGTAGTCCCTGATAAACTCAAGGATAAGCAGGAGTGATTTTAAGCAGAAAGATTTTAATAACCTAAATTTAAACAAAGCCCCTATGTTTAGTAGAATGAGTTTGTGAGCCAGCTCAGATATGGGCCAAGGAGGTGAATTACTAGGTATTATCTTTTTGGATATGTCACTGGTGCTTTGCATGAGAATTCCCCCCTCCTTTTTGCCTCTTGCTTTCATGTAGGTTCCAAGAAAGTACCTCATACCACTTGACCATAGTAACTTTAATGTAATAACCCCTCAGGAATCAACCAAGTGGACTCTCAATCTTACCAAGGGGGTTTCCATTACCTCATCATTTCCCCTCCATCATTCAAATATACATACACCCCCCACACACACACACACACTACACCTTCATTCCTATACTCAGATTAGATTAAACAAGAGCAGAAATTAAGAAGTCATTTAAGTCTAAGGAAGAAAAAGCTAAAGAATCTGAAAACATTGAAAATCTACACTTCTATAAACTCCAGAAATGTTATCTAATAATCAATCAACATTTATTAAGCTTATACTATTTGTAAGGCACTCTGGTAAGTTCTGGGGATTCAAAAAGATACAAAAGACAGTCCCTGCCCTCAAAAAGCTTACAATATAATGGGGAGTGAGGTGGAGAATACAAACAATTATTTAAAAAAGCAAGCTATATCGGAAATTAGAGGGGTTGGGGAAGGCTTCCTGTAGAAGGAGGGATTTAGTTGGGACTTAAAGGAAGCCAGGGAGTAGCTGAGTGGTATAGTGAATAGAGTGTCAGGCCTGGAGTTAGGAAGACTCACCTTCCTGAGTTCAAATCTGGCCTCAGACACTTACTGGCTGTGTGACCCAGGCAAGTCACTTAACCCATTTGCCTCAGTTTCCTCATCTATAAAATGTGCTGGAGAAGGAAATGGCAAACCACGGCAGTATCTTTGCCAAGAAAACCCCAAATGGGGTCATGAAGAGTCGGACATAACTGAAAATGACTGAAGAACAACAACAAAAGGATTCTAGGGAGGTCAGTGGTTGGAGCAGAGAATGGACAGTATTTCAGGCATGGAAGACAGCCAGAAAGAATGCTGGGAGCCAAGAGATGGAATGTCTTGTTCTTGAAACAACAAGGAAGCCAGTGTCACTGGAATGAAGAGGAGTAAGGTGTAAGAAGACTGGAAAAGTAAGAGAGGGCTAGGTTATGAGGGCTTTGAATGCCAAGTAGAACATTTTACATTTGCTACTGGAGACAATAGGGAACCACTGGAGTAAATTGAGTTGGGGGAGGAGGGCCAGGGAGTGTCATGATCAGGTCTGTGCTTTGGGAAAATCACTTTAAGTGACTGAATGGAGGATGGATTGGAGTAGGGAGAGACTTGAGGTAGCATACTCTCCAGATTTGCTATAGCTTTCCTTTCAAGCAGCAAGTATATTTGAATTTCGTGGCTGCAGTCACTATCTGCAATGATCTTTGAGCTCGAGAATATAGAATATGACACTGTTTCCATTTTTTCTCCCTCTATTTGCCAGGAAGTAATGGGACCAGTTGCCAAGATCTTCAGTTTTGAGGTTTTTTATGTTAAGCTTCAAGCCAACTTTTACACATTCTTGTTTCATAAAACCCTACAAACACATAAAGAAAACAATGTATTGCATGAGAAGCAAATAGACTTGTTTTTGTAAAGAATCCACTTGTAATACAAGTAATGCTCCCTAGTTACCAGTTTTACAGTTTGTTTTTGTTTATGTATATAAAAATATTTATATTTGTTATTTATTTGTATGTATGTGTGTATATATACATATATGCATATATGCACACAAATATATGCGTGTGTCTACACATATTCGTATATGTATACATATATGTATATATCAGGGACATCTCTAAGGAAAACAGAATTAAGTGTAAATTTAAGAGTCTTCTGACTTTGAAGTACAGATAAAAAGACTTGATCAAAAAGTATACATATATGCATAATGTGCATATTACTTCTGATCAAGTATATATGTTTGTAAATACATACATTCCTTTGGTATTTAAAATGCCTGATCAACAGAGTGCATATGAGATCCTCTGACTTTAGAAATTCAGAAGTAGAGCAATGAAGAAAAAAATAGGGATACAGTTTAACTTCAATTATAATTTAGTATTCTAAGTGGGTATGGTATTAGAATAGCTCTTAATTACAATAATTCACTTCTGAATTTTTCAAGGTCCTGTTATGTTTGAAAGTTATGGTAAACTGAAGCACAAAGTTCCAAGTAAGGCTAGCAATTATCAATAAAAGGGGTCCCTTGACTCCTCAGTCAGCCAAAAGACCATGAGATAGGGCTTATTAACCTTCTTATAGTTTTGGGAAATACAAGAGAACAAAGAAGAGGAAGCATCACAGATGGAAAACAATATGATTGGTTACAAAGTCTGAAGTGTCATAGGTGGCAAAAACAATTATGATTGGCTAGACATTTGGGGCTGGTAATAGCCCCTCCTTCCATCCTGCTGTCAGGAAAGGTTAATTTGATGGATAGAGTACATCTGCTCATTAGTTGAATAGAAATAACAGACTTGGGGCAGCTAGGTGGTGCAGTGGATAGAGCACCTGAGTTCAAATGCGGAATCAGACCAAACACCTGACACTTACTAGCTGTGTGACCCTAAGAAGTCACTTAACCCCAATTATGTAAACATTTTTTTAAAAATTAAAAAAAAAAGAAATAACAGACTTCTTGGTGCCCACCTGTTTGCTAGTAAGATAACAGAGCTCCTTTAATTGTTGATGGGTATGCAAGGCTCTATAGAAATAACTGTTTTCTTTCCACTGAAGTGACTTACAGGGAAACAGCTTTTAAACTTAACTCAGAAAGGAAAACAGAACTTCTGGACTCATGAACTTATGAACTTAACTCAGAGGCAACAAAATGTCACTCAGGCAGCTACAAAATAGAATCAATTACAGAATGGAATCAAATATAAAATACAAAATCAATATTTGATTTCCTGTCCTTATTTTACTTAGTTGTCTATAGAGTCAAAAGAAGTTAATCATTAACAAGTATGAGAGATGACTACAAAACCAAACGAATTACTCATAGCACTAGAGGAAGTTGCCTGGATAATACTAGTTATCTGAACATCTATAATTTTAAGTATATTACCTGTCATTGTGTCAGTAGGTATATATCTTTGTTCTTATGAATTTTCTTCCAAACTAATTTGATTAATTCTTGTAACTCTCAAAGAGAAGAAATATTTTTCAGAGAACAGATTTTCTAAAAAGGCCAAATTGCTATTTTCCGTAACAAATCTTTAATTGTAAATTAGTTTACATAGTTTTATATTATGTAATGTTAGTTTGTTCCAGGTACAAAATGTATGTGTAACAAACTTAATTTACATACGTAGTTTATAATTTACCCTAATTCTTTCACTGTTTTGTTTTCCAAGTAGCATGTTTGAAAATTATTAGCTTTTTCTATTTTAGGTTTCCATTATTTCTTTTCTAAGCTAACTTTACTGTTCAAATTTCCTTACCCTGATAACAGTTATATTTCTATGGGCTGCATTATTCCATAGGACCCTGTCTTGTTTTCTGGCACACTCCAAATGAACCTGGATCCACTTGAAAAGTATTCAGATAATGAGCTTTGGGAGGCACTAGAACTATGTCACTTAAAGGACTTTGTGCAATCTCTTCCCAAGAGGCTGCTGCATGAGATTTCAGAAGGTGGTGAGAACCTCAGGTAGGAACAAAAAAAAAGAGAGCTGAGTTTCCACTGCTACTCTCTAACTGCCACAAATCCACGTGAGCTGTCAATAGCACTCCTTTCTTAAGCCCCTTCTAAGAAAGAAGCCCAAGACGCAAAGTAGCAGCCCCAGTCTGAACAATGTGAATAGATAAAATAGCTTGTTTTCTCCATTTTCCCCTGTTTATCTCTTCTTAAAGCTGTCAGCATCTACGAATCCACAGTACTAGCAGCATCAAAGACAGTAAGCCAGACTGAATTTAGTATCAGGATAAAAGGAAATTTCTTAATGTGAGAAGGAAAGTAGGTGTGTCTTTTATACCATTCTCAAAGCAAAGAAATGTATGTGAAAAGGAAGTGTTTTTTTTAAAGTAGTCAGATAATAAACTTTTGAAGATAAAAGGGATTTCCAAGAGATAGGATATCAACCAAAGCATCAAAATGACAATTAAATTTATTGCCACAGTGCTGGACAAAGGCAGCTTGTATGTCTTGCTCGTGCATTGCTTCGGAAAACAAAAATTCTTGTCCTAGATGAACCAACAGCCTCTGTGGATTATGAGACAGATAGCCTGGTACAATCCACCATCCAGAAGGAATTTGCTGACTGCACCATATTGACTATAGCTCACAGGTTGCATACTGTCATGGATTCAGAAAGGTATGTTTCATTTTCTTTACAGTCAGTGTGACTTACTCAAGTTAATTATTAGTGACGTTAGATTCTTGAACTGAGATAATTAAATATATTTACTTTAAATGAATACCCTTACATTCTCATAAGACTGAAAAACAGAGATGAAAAATGGACCATCTGCTTACTCATTATTGTTTCTTCTTGTTGCAGAATACTTGTGCTAGATTCTGGAAGAATTATAGAATTTGAAACGCCTCAGAATTTGATCCGGCAGAAAGGGCTTTTTTCTGAAATGGTAAAAGAGGCTGGAATCATACAAGATGCAGATATAACACATAAATAATTTGGACTTATTGATTGGTTCTTATGAAAAATTTGTTTTGTTTGTAAGCCATATTGTTCACTCACTGTTGAATAGAAAATTAGAAAGAAATGCAGTAAAGTTCCAACAAATATACCATTATACATTACATAGACACACACACAAGTGTGTGTATATATATATATATGTAATGTTACATTAGTTGGAACCTTGGGGGTATATATATATATATATATATATATATATATATATATATATATATATATATATATATGTATGTATATATAATGGTATGTTAATTGGAACACACACACATCTAGTGTGCTGGTAAATTACAAGGCCTTGAGGAAAAAAGTATGCAATTATACTTTTCAGTTTAATCTCCGTTATTAACATTTTCTAAAGTCCAGGCCAAACCTAGTTAAAATATCATTTCTTTCTGATTTTAGTGTGTTGATGTATTAATAAAGAGAGAAATATATAAAAGTATAGTGCTCTAAATTAATATACAGTCTACAAGGATCCTTATATGTGGTATATAGATGCCTCTATATCAGCCCTGCACAACCTACATTAGCCCACCAAAGGATTTTGGGCAGCCCATGAATGTAGGAAAACATCCTCTACATTTTCTGTTGGCCTCCTGAAATATTTGGCAGGCTGCAGGTTGTGCAGGCCTGCTCTATATGGTATATGGTACAGTGGCCTCATTTCTATTTGAATTTGACACCACTGGTCTAGGTGTGCCTCTAAATCCCAGCACCCTCTTAGTTCAGGTTTGATGTTGGGACAAAATGAGGTGCTCAGTAAGTCACTGAACAAAGGAGATTTATTTTGTTCAACAAAGCAAGGGGTATCCAGCAAAGATACAATGACACTTAGCTTCTTTGAATAGGCCCCTCAGCTCTCCATTTGGAAGGAGTCTGGTCCATAGGGGTCTGGAAACTGGCATGGTCTCAGGCACCCACCAAGCCTTTGAGGCACAACATGGTTGGAACCTTTTATGCCTCCATGTCCAGAAGCAGTGTTGGGGAACCTGGGGCCAATCAGTTTGCTTGGAGGAAGAAAGTCAGGGAAGCTGTGTCAGGAAAATACTGGTCCTATCACAACAATCAACGAAACAATAAAATCAAGGCCTGATTTGTAGCACCTGCTGATTTCTGAGGTATAAATGCTCACTCATACTGAAGATTTAGGCACAGGTCCATCATAGCTGGTTCCAGCATATCCCCTGGTTATTTCGTTAAAAAGCAGACGTTGATGCAAAATGAGTTTGTTAATCAGTAGAAAATTTGACATTATTCAAAGATAGAAACATTATAAGACAGGTTTCTTTATGACTGCAATTTTTTTTTTAAAAACCCTTTCAGATTTCACTCTCCTTCAAGAATTTATGGTTTTATGAGTGTGAGTAATGCAACTGATTCAAATTCTAGCCCTTTGGTCCTGCCTCTGACACTATCTGTGTGACCTTAGGCAAGTCATTTAAATTCCTTGTGACGGTTTTCTGTTAAATGGAATTGGACTACATGGCTTCTATGGTCCCTTTCATTGCTATGACTCATATCATCCTCGGATCATTAAGATTTAGTAGAACCAGAAAAAAAAATAATTACACAACAGCCAAACTTTTGAAGTGAAGTACATATTCAAATACCTGGGGGAGGCTGGGCCTTGGGCAAGACATAATCTGTTGCTGTGGCTATACCAAAACTCTTGTAAGTTGGTGGGACTTTGTATTCTCCTGGCATACTAAGGATGGGAATTCAGTGGAGTCTAATAGTCCTAATTCATCCATATTTAGTCTTACTTATTGAATGGAGATAAGGGAGGGAGGGAAGGGATTTAAGCTAACAGTTTTATTTACAAGGGTGAGTAAATATGTCAAATTTTAGCATTTTTTTCCTCAAATTTAATACCTACTCTCCAGAATGGCTGGATCAGTTTACAACACATTAGTGTCCCAATTTTCCCACATCTTCTCCAACATTTATCATTTTCCTTTTCTGCCATTTGGCTAATCTGATAGGTATGAGGTGGTATCTCAATGACTTACTGAGCACCTCATTTTGTCCCAGCATCAAACCTGAACTCAGAGTTGGTTTATTTTGCATTTCTCTAATCAATAGTGATTTAGAGCATTTTTTCATATGACTATAGGTAGCTTTAAATTCATCTGAAAACTGCCTATTCATATCCTTTGACCATTTATCAATTGGGGAATGGCTTATATTCTTATAAATTTGACTCAGCTCTCTATATATTTTAGAAATGAGGCCTTTATCAGAAACACTGGCAGTAAAAATTGTTTCCCAGCTTTTTGCTTTCCTTCTAATCTTGGTTGCCTTGGCTTTGTCTGCACATAAATTCTACAAATAATGTTGAAGTATGTTAACAAATGGGTAAAGCACAACTATTTCAGTGCTGCCGTGATCCCAAGGAAAACTTCAAGAACTGCTGAAATCATCACTCAGGGGTCTGTGGTCTATGTGGTATCTCACCTTGCAACACTTCTTCAGAAATAGGAAAACTGGAGATTGGGATGGCTGCCCAGGCGTTCCAACTGAGGACTGTCTGAGTAACTAAGACATGAGAACATCCAATCATGTGGGTGGCATTTTTGTTTTATTGTAAGTTCAACCTTGTTTAATTGATTGTTTTACCAATATCATATGAGATATATTTTTTCAAGTCCCTAATAAATGATTTTGGAGTACAAAAATGAGTCTCCTTGTTACTTTACTATTTTTGAAACCTAAATAAATGAACAGACTTATATGTTATCCTATTCATGAAATGTATACACTTCATTTGATTGATGAGTTCAATTGGTTACAGCATTTGAATGTCACCAAGACCCTGATAGCTTTGCTCCGTTCCATGGTCTGCCACTGACTGCATGACCCTATTCAGCTGGCTTTCCATTGAATTCTACCCATTAGTCAATAACAAGGACTGGGAGTGAAAGCAAAAAATCCATCCTTGATAATGGAAGAGCCTCTGAAACACACCTTGCTGACACAGTAGAACATCTTTGTATATCAGGTGTCATGCATGAATTTATAATAACTGAGGAAACAAAGTCTGAGCTATGTGATTTATTTGCAAGGCATTGCAGATGCAGAACAAATCGAGTTTAAGGCCCGCAAGTAGGCACAGGGACTCTGAATACGGATTTTGCACAAATTTTTATATATTAAAAGAAAATAATAAACAGGATACAAAACAGGATTTAGGATTAGGTCATTTGATTTCTTATTGGAGGAAAAATTAGGAACTTTCTGAGTTGGGAGACAGGAGAGTGAGTTGGGTTCCCCCAAATCAGGAGATTTACAGGGAAAACAAATGAAGGTTCACAAAATGGAGTCAGTGTTCACAAGATGAAGTTCTGGTTCTCACAATTCTCCCCTTTCACCCTTGGTGGTGGCGAGGGATTGTCCCCTCCCACTATGGATCACTATCAATAAGCCAAATTTATAAGGTTTTTTTATATGCTCATCAGTATCATGAACCAAGAAAAGATCACTGGGAAGGACTCTTTTGAATAGTTTAGAACAGCAGCTAATACAGAGTGTAAGAATAATAATGAAGCATAAAGCAAAGAGACCCCATTTACCTATAGTGGCTAATATGCCATTCCCTGCATCCAAGTGAATCAGGAGGAAGCATTCCACCAGGGGTCACTTGGTTTAAGGAGTTGCTTTTCTGCTATAACCTGTTGGATTTCTTGAAGGCTTATCACAACCCCCACCCCCCCATCCCCACCCCAGACTGACAAATGTAGGGACAAGAAGACTGAGCTATCATAACAGGCTCCTCCTTGTGAAGCTCTAGTAAGGGAAGACCATACAATTTTGTAACACCATTTCTGTCAAATAATAGACCTCAATTTGGAGGGAAGAGATGCATTCACTTGTGGTTCAGGCTAGTTTCTCAATTTCAAGTGAAAGGTTCCTATCAGCCTGTTCTAGTACTGTAACCCCTACAAATGGAAATATGGTTCAGAGGATCTTTTCTTCCAGCCCCTATTCTTTCACAGGATTTTGGATTGTAACCATGTCTCTTTTTTGGTGTTTAAACCACCATGCTCTCAAATTTCTGGTAGTTTTCTTTCCCACTTATCTTGTGGTATGATTAAAAACTGATATTGGTGGGGTCAAATAGGCAATCCCATCCATTCTAAACCAACTCAGGGGAAGAGAAGCTTTACTGATTCAAACAAAAAATTTTCCTGGGGTAACTAGTCCCCAAGCATCTTTTGAAAGGGGATATTTAATTGTCCCAAAGATTCAGTTATTCTTATGGTAATAAATTTATCCTGAAAGTTGCATGATACTTGGTCCGCCTAGAGCTGTTATAGTAAGATTGGCCAAAGAAATTTGAGATTTCTTGTCTCTAATGCCATTAAAGAAGGTTTTAGCACAAATAATAAAAAGACATCTTTTGGTAAAATGGAAAGTCAATCTACACATCTTCAGATCTCCTAAGTCTACATATCATTGGGACCTTTCTTCTTGGTAACACAGAAATGAAAACTTGGAGGGGGAGTGTCACCCTTAAATGATACAATCCTAAATTTGATGTCCCATTAAATTTGAAAATAGCTTGTTTGTTATAAAATTGGGTTAATGATATTAGTCTTGGTTTATTATATTCTATTTTCCTTCTGGGGACATAAATACAAATAACTAAAGCAAAGAATGTAAAAGCCCCCTTCAAAGGTGGTGTTTAAGATACCCAGAGTCAAAGGATTCTTCTGGTTGTAGGAGAATTTTGTTTTCCATACTAATGAGTACGACCCATTTATCAGGGTCACTCTGGTGGATATGATTTAATATTTTATTTTTCCCAATTACATGTAAAAACAATTTTAACATTCTTTTTTTCAAATTTTGAGTCCCAAATTCTCTCCCTTCCTCCCCATCCTACCCCCATTGAGAAGGCAGGCAATTTGACAGGTTATACATGTGCAGTCACACAAAACACATTTCCATGTAAGTGCTGTGAAAGAAAACAGACCCCCCAAAAAAAACCCACAAGAAAAATAAAGAAAGCAAAGAAAAAGTATTCTTCATTCAGGTTCCACCAGTTTTTTCTCTGGAGATGGACAACATCTTTCCTCATAAGTCCTTCAGAATTGTCTTGGATCACTGTATTGCTGAGAATAGCTAAGTTATTCACAGTAGACCATCATAAACAATATTGCTATT